CCCGCCCCTCCTCGCCCGGGCCCCGCCCCTGGCCCCGCCCCGCGGCTCGTCCGGCCGCCTCGGCCCTCCGCTAACACTCTTTCTCATTGCTCTCTCCCTGCACATCTGCATGTGGCTGCGCTGTCTAGCTGCGCGGTGGCCCCGAGCGCCGGCTGTGTAAGTGAGCACTCATCCCATGCCTCTCACCGTCCACGTGGCTGCGCTTGGCCTCCAGGACCTGCTCTGCTTGGCTGCGGGGGGGCTTCGCTGCCCCTGACAGCCCCTGACGCCGCCCCTGGCCGCAGCAGGGCATAGGGATGGAAACGGAGGGTGGTTTTCTCTGGAAAACCCTCTAGATGAGCCCCCCTCCTAGGCCAGGTTTGGGTGGGGCTGGAGCTCTGGGGTCCTGTTTGGAGAGTCAAGACATGAGCGCCTTCTGCCCTTTGTGGTAGGGCTGCGGCCCTGTCAAGAGCAGGCCTCCGCTGGGTTTGCCGTGGGCGTTAATGAGTGCACAGCCTCCTGCGCCTGCGATTCACGTGGACATGCTGTGCTGCTGTCTTCTTGAACCTGCCTCACCTGCCTCGCACCTGTCGCACACCTGCCTTGCATGTGCTGCTGCTGTGTGTGTATCTGGGTTTGTGATGGGTGGGCTGCTTCGTCTCTGCAGCTGCCAGCCTTTGCCATGGGCGTAGCCGGCGCCAGGTGTCTCCGGACTACGGGAAGGCAGAGCTGGGGAAGGGGTATGGGAGGGCTTCAATGAAGGGTCGGAACCCAGCTCTAGCGGCTCCGGATCAGGGGGAGGAGGCTCCCTTTACTCTGTTGGGCTGCTCTTGAGTCAAGCTGAGTGAAGAGGGCCATTGGCCTTTCTCTCACATTGTGTTCACGTTCAGTATAGGGTCCCCGTCCCGTCCCCACCCCCACCCCACCCCCGTTCCCCAGGAAGGCTTTTGCCTTCGCTTGCTTTCTTTTCTCCCCTGACTGGAAATCAGTACAACCTGCCCTATCGCTCACGCCATTCCGCGCGCCCCCACTTCCGTCCTTTGGTCCTTTATCTTCGCCCTAGCCTCATTTGGCGCCCCTCACCTTCCTTGACCCAATCTCCCTCCACAGGCTCTTCAGCAGCCTTGGTGAGCTGAGCACCATCTCAGCGCAGCGCAGCCCCACAAGCCCGGGCAGCGGGGCCTCCTACACTGTGCGGCCCGGCAGCCGCTACCCGGTGGCGCGGCGCACCCCGAGCCCAGTGAAGCCCGCGTCTCTGGAGCGGGTTGAGGGGCTGGGGGCGGGCGCGGGGGGCGTTGGGCGGCCCTTCGGCCTCACGCCCCCCACCATCCTCAAGTCGTCCAGCCTTTCCATCCCGCACGAGCCCAAGGAGGTGCGCTTCGTGGTGCGCAGCGTGAGTGCGCGCAGCCGCTCACCCTCGCCTTCGCCGCTGCCTTCGCCTGCACCTGGCCCCAGTGCCCCGGGCCCACGCCGGCCCTTCCAGCAGAAACCAATGCAACTCTGGAGCAAGTTTGACGTGGGCGACTGGCTGGAGAGCATCCACCTGGGCGAGCACCGCGACCGCTTCGAGGACCATGAAATCGAGGGCGCGCACCTGCCGGCGCTCACCAAGGACGACTTTGTGGAGCTGGGCGTCACGCGCGTGGGCCACCGCATGAACATCGAGCGCGCGCTCAAACAGCTGGAGGGCAGCTGACGCCCACATCACGCCGCGCCCTGCCGGCAGGGCCCCCCACCCCGGGCCGCGGGCTCGGCCTGCCCCCCACGACGGCGCCGGGCCAGGAATGTTGCATGAATTGTCCTGTTTGCTGTTGCTCGGAGACTTGCCCTGTACATTGCTTAGTGCCCCTCCCCGGCCACCGAGCCCCTTCCCGCACACGGTCAGGAGTGAGGTCCAGGAAGTTTGGGGGCTTCGGGAGGGGCCTAACCGGCTTGGTCCCTTCTCAGCTCCTGGTGGCCACTCCCAGAGGGAGGACCTAGTCCAGCATGCGAGGTCAGGACACGCCTTGGTGACTCGGGGGGAGGGGGGATGTTGGGGTTGTGGGTTGGGGCCAAGGAGCCCCTTGTTTTGCATATTTTAATCCACTCTATTTGGAACGAGCAAAGGAACAAATATCTCTGTCCTAATCGCGCCCCTCCCTGCCCCTCCCCTCACTCCAGCCTCTGTCCCACTGCGGCCAAGTCTTCCATCTCGGCTGGGTCCTGCCGCTCGAGCCGGGCCCCTCACTGCCACTGCCACCCCACATAGGGGCGAGGGGCGCTCCAGCTGGTCTGGGGTTGGCTAGGGGCTTAGTGGCCCGACAGGGGGCCTGGGCTCGGTCCCCTCCTCCCGCTGAGCTGTAGTGTCCCCACCGACCCTTCAGGTGCTGCGCGGGGGAGGGGCGGCAGGCAGCTGGGTCCCGGAAGACCATCCCTGGGGGAGGGCTACAGGGCCCTGGTCCTCCGCCTCCAGCCATCTCCTCCACAGGGTCTCTCCTCCTAGAGGGGTCCAGCCTCGCCTCCATCCTCTGGGGGCAACTTCAGCAGAGAAGCCTCCCTGTCTCGGACCCCAAATCTTCTGTCCTGCCGTGTGTTTGAGCAAATCGGGTGCGACTGGGCGCACAGTGTACAAGACTGGCGTGTCCCCTTTGAGGGGCAGCCCTAGAACTCTATGCGATGGCTGCTGAAGCGTGTGTGGGGTGCGTATGCTGGAGAGTGTGCAGGGTGAGTGCATGCTGCAATGTGCGTGCGAGGGAGTGTGCTTTGGGGGCGTGAAGGAGTGTGCATGGGTGCGTGCAGGGGTGCATGTGGTAGAGTGCATAGTGAATGCTTGCTCAGATGTTGATGCGGGAGTGCATATAGGGTGCGTGCCTGCCCCTCACTCCTCTTCCAAAGAAAGTCCCGCCACTGGGGTCCGTTTTTTGCCCAGCCTGCCTAGGACGAGCTCCATCCTGAGCTGGGCTCCGTGGTGAAGCCCTTCCGCCCTGGGTGATCCTTAAGGTCCCCGTAGGAGGCAATCCCCCCTCGAGCTTCTGAGGTGATAGAGGGACACTTAGAGTCAGGCCACTGAAATCCCTGGGGTGAGACCAGGACACCACCTCCACCCCCAGAGGGCGCCCAGCCTCCTTACTGTGATTCCTCACGTTCAGCAATGACCTGTGGGGTGGGGGGACCTGGGACGTTTTTAAACCTAGGGTTTGGAGTCTGGACTCAGCTCCATCCACGTCACTCACAAGTTTATGTTTGTATTTCTAGCTTTTTTTAATAAAACAATTTAAAAAAAAATAAAACAGACGTTTTCACAGCCCAGGGTCCTGGCATGCAGGTCTGTGCTGGTCCTGGAGCACACCTCACCGCCACCCTACTCAGCCCCTAGCACAGTCATACCCAGTTATCCCGTCAATAGACCAGGTCACACATCAGCAGTCGCTGTAACAGGCTGCCACATACACACTCAGTCTCACTTACCTGTGGGTTTTTGGTTCCGTTCCATTTGGGTTTTTAACTTAAAGGGTCAGGTTGGCTTTCCCTCCTTTTGTATGGAGCTCCATCGGGGATTTCACCCTGCTCCAGCCCGAGGCCTCCTGACCCTGACGTTGTGATATACCCCACAGAGATCTATGTTTCTTATATTATTATTATTGATAATAATTATTATAATATTATGTAATAAATTTATAAGAAATGAAACTGCTCTTGGTACTTGCTTTGGAGGGTAGTGGAAGCACTACTCTGCTTCACTGTTGTTACTCCCACCCCCACCTCAGCCTCCCTCTTTTCAGCACCAGTTGTTTATACACTGCTTGTCCATCTCCTGGCCATGTGCTGGCCCTACACTCTTCTTCCGCCCTCTGCTCATGGACAGCTAGTGGTCTTGTAGTTGAGTCTTGCACTTGGAACCTGGTCAGGTTCCCCTCTCGCAGGATTGCAGCTCCCTGTGCCCACCAACCCTCCTGTTTCCCAGGCCCCTCAGCTCACATGCTTCCCTTTGGTTACCGCCTGCAGTTGGAGGAATTCCTCAGCTAGTGTGAGTCAAATGGCAGGCTCTGCACCTTCTCAAATTTAGTAGCTTGTGCTTCTCCCCCAGCCTCAGAGAGGAGGATTGGGTGGGAGTTTACCTTTGGCCCCAACTTTGAACTTGGAGGCAGGGTCACAAGGACACACTTGGTTGCTACTGGTATGAAAGTGGCATCATGTGGCCAGAGGCAGGGACTGCTCTCCAGATGAGAGACTGCGCCCTGTCGAGTGGGTGGTGATGTGGAGGGGCTCAGGGCCTGGTAGAAGACCAGCCCTAGGTCCTGAGCAAGGGACTTCGCGGGTCCTCATGGTAGGTCCATTGGGGGTGAGAGGTGGTAGGCAGCCAGGGGCAGAGGGGCAGACAGATGCATGCTAAGGTCTGAGTGCAGCGAGGACAGGGATGGTAAAGCCTCCAAGGTGATACCTGAGTCTGGGGTGGTTTATCTCCCCTCTACAAGCCTTCAGGGGCTCAATCAGTCTACAGGGTCTGTAGTTGCAAAGCCCCAGTGTTTTTGACTGTCCCTTATTTTCAGGTTAGAGATTGGTCCTCTCACATGGAGCTTGTGTAGAACTAGGGTGGCAGAGCTGTCAGAGAGCTGGGGCTCTGTGTCACAGAGGAGTCCTTCTGAGTTTTTCAGGGCCCCAAGATGGCGAAGCTGGACACCACCGAACAAAGGCATCAATTCTTGTGTCATCTTTATCCATCGTCCAGCTCTCAGATGCATAGCAAGTTATTGAAAAGACCATGTCCTGAATCAGGTGGACCTTAGTCCTCAAACTGACATCTTTGTTCCTCATCGATTTGGAGAGGTCCCTAACAGTGGACTTGCCCAGTGCATCTCCTGATCTCCTGACCGCTGGTTCCTAGGATGTTAATTGTGGATCCAAGTAAGATGTAGTCATTGACAGTTTCATTAGTTTCTCCATCTAGCATGATGTTGCTTTTTGGTCCGCTGGTGAGAATTTTTGTCTTCTTGATGTTGAGATGCATCCGTAGTCTTGGATTTTCTGCATCAAGTTTTTAAATTCCTTTTCACATTCAGCAAGTAAAGTTGTGTCTCCTACATAATGTAGATTTTTGATGAGTCTTCCTTCAATACTGATGCCACAGTCTTCTTCATAGAGTGTAGCTTCTCGAATAATTCATTCAGCATACAAATTGAACAGGTGTGCAGAAAGGATACAACCATGACACACAACTTTGTTGCAGACTGAGGGGGAAGTATATTAATAAGTATTAATAACAAGACAGAACACCAAGAATGTAGGGAAAACCAGGTAAACCAGGAGGTGAATAGTTCTCTAACAACTGAAGCGAACTGATGCACTGGTCCTTAGCTTCCCTGAGTCTTGATTGAAAATTGCTGGGGATCAAATCACCAAGAGAATTCAATGCAAATGAAGCTAAGCTCTTTGTATTGAAAACCTTCTGCTTGACTCAGGAGGGAGGGGTTAGCAAATACAATGCAAGAATCCTGTAAACACTTAAGGATTGCATTAGTGTCTACCCCTGTAAACATTTAAGAATTGCCTTAGTTCTTCAGGGTGAATTCCAGCTTGTTTCAGCCTCCCTCATGACCTGAAGTAGCATTTGGTTTATTACAAATATTTAGTATAAAATTTGGCTTCCCACATTTCCCCCCTTTTGTTTATATAATAATTATGTTGTCATCTAGATGAACATGCTTCTTCTCTTCTTTGATTCATTCTTGCTTGGTTTTGTTCTCTCCATTATTTATACACAAGTAAACAAATAAGCTCAAAAAATACTTCCAAAAATCGTGATGTGATCAGATGGATTCAAGTTGGATATTCCTTCACTTATTCTTGCAGAATATCTGTGTTATTGCTTATCAAAAGTAGAATGAATCTGAGCATGTAATTTCAGCATGTCATTTATGAAATTATCAGGATTCAGTCTATTCAGTGTCATTTACTGGAGTAACACAAAACTGCATAATATTCCAAACATATTTTAATTTATCTTTGAAAAGACCATAACTTTTTCAGAATTTTGATGACATGTTTTCATATAAATTAATGTGTAAATACTTGATACAAAGCCAAGCCAGCTGTAGTAGTGGTGGCAGTATTGGCAATAATTCCCAAGATTGCTAATTCAAATAACACTTTTCTTATTTTTTAATAATTATGTTACCAAGTATTATAAGATCATACTTTCAGGGGATGATTGCCATTTTCTCTTTAATATTGGCAACCATAATCCAAATAAGGATCTTAATATGTAAATACTTTCATTAAAAGGTGAAATAATGGAAATACTTAAACTAATATATAAAAAACAATTTTGAACAATATAATATTAAAGTTGTAGAATATCATTGAGTTGAACCTTTTAAAAATACATAAGGTAAGGAAACACAGGTGCGAATGTAAATGATTTAATTTCTTTTAAATTTAGAGCTAGTAACATTATTAATATGATCATATGAATAATTTCCAATCTAAATAAATATACAACAAGCATTGAGGACTCTCCTTCATAGGGTTGCTATGAGCCGCCTGTGACTCGATGGCACTTAACAACAACAAATAAATATGTCTCAATACAGTTCCTGTTTTTCCTATGTGTTTTTGATAAGAAAAATGTTGAAAACTTGGATATAGTTCCACCATTCCCCCTCCATGCCAAGAGATAGTGTTATTAGCATGAGTAGATATAAGTCCATCGCCTTCCAT